ACATTTTCAAAGGCATGGCTTGAATGTCTGAACTTATTTTTTTACAATATGTCTCAGAACCTTTATGAACTGCTCACACCACTTTCACAGCTACTAATACCCAGTAACTTCAACTCAAGCACATACAAAATTCAGAGCTACTAAAGAAATGCACCAATGCTACATAGATGCTGCCTCTCACCCAGTAGGATCTGCCTGATGCACTGTACTCAAAAGGAAGGCTCATTTTGTTCCCAGAAATAACAAAGATTCATGATATTCTTCCAGTGAGGTCCCAAAGACTAGTCAAAGTGAAATCTGATGTCTGCAAGTAAAACTCCCATTGGAGAGCCATCTGATAGGCCATGGGATGACATCCTCACACTTGAAAAAGCAGGTTTACAGATAATTTAAAGCTGGACAAAGCATTTAAAAACTTACAGGAGGGACTTCTTCGGAGTGGAGGGAAAAGATTCACTAATTTATATAACGAGCCTTCTCTTGTAGAATAACCTGTGTGGTTTTTATTCCCAGAAAAAGACCTCTTAAAAGAGTTAGAAAAGGCTAATTATACATGTTAAAAAGGCAAGTTGGCCCTGTATTGCCAGTATACAACTAAGCACCTGACTGCTTGAGCACAACACATGCTCAGTGTGTTGCAAAGAGCAAAGTTAGCTCTTTGCCATGATCATTAATTCTGCAGCAGCATCTTCAGCCAGTGATGAAGCATCACACTGAAACAGGCTCTGAACAACTGACGGCTCCAAAACTCCTCCAAGACGCTTCCACACTGATGAGGAATAATGTGTTAGTTATAAGATCTCACTCCATCCTGTATTCTTCCAAAGTCATAAAACTGGCAGGGCACTAGCAAAATTGTTTCCTCAAGATCTCTACTTCTGCTACACTGAAGAGACCAAAACCTGAAAACCCCTACCTGAGCATAGTCCTGTATTATATAACATAGTATATTTTTTAAGTAAAGCAGCTTGCACACATTGAAAGAGAGTTTCAGAAAGCATTACTTGATTGTCTAAGAGGTGAGGAGAACTATTTGTATCTATCACAAAAACATGATAGGTACCAAACAGTTAAAGCCTTTTGGTCTCAAAAATAGGAAACCGGAACAGGAAAAACTCATGAACAAATAATATATTTTTATTCTTAACACTGGTTCCTCTGAAGCCAAGAGAAAGCTCATGGAGGGCAACTTGCCCAATACTGTCAAGTACAACTGTTTTGAGGGTCTGGAAAGAAATTACATCTAAATCAAAAAAGTATTTTAAATTTGTTTTAGGAATGGAAATCCAGTTTCTTACAAGCCTTCTTATTCAATGTTCACTGGAATTGCAGAAGGCAAAGATTGCTATGGCAGAAAGCAAGTCACAGATTTCTGATTATATTCAATGAGAAGGAAAAGCTGCATTATTTTACCCTTTCCTGCCACATTCAAATACTAGTCTCTGAATCTGGAGGCAGACTATTTTTGGGGAAAGACCTAGCAAACCATGCTTCAGAGTAAATGAAGAGTTTAAGAGTCTGCCCACTTTTGCTGAACATGTTGGTTTTGAACGATCAGCTTTAGCTCACCAGTCGTCCTCAACTACCCAGCTGCCTTTTCTGACCATGAGACTTTGGTGGCTTCTACAGAAAGTCTACAGATCTTTTCTGCACTGAGTCACAGCACCTTGTGAATGAGTTTGCTATTTAGTAGACCAAATACAGCTTTTGGAATTGCAGCAAGAACAGCAGCATCTTAATGGTTAAAATGGAGCAGGGGGAAGGGAGAACATAAATTCAATGAGCCCAAGCAGAGATTCATTAAACACTCGGCTGCAAGCTAAAAATACTAGAATAAAAGTCTCTTTGTAATAAATTACCATCATTTTCTAAACACAGAGCCAGCATTATAGGCTGCTAGCAACTGTAGCGAGTGCCAGACTAGCCCTTTTCTAAAATACTGCATAAAAACCCACTTTCACAGTATAAAAAGAAGTCCACTGTCAATGACTATATTAAAATCAAAATATGCTGATTCAGATGTAAAAAATTTATTTTCCTCCATTTTTGTATTACCTTCTTTATATTCTGTACCTACATATTCTAAGCTTTGGAAAATTTTTGGCTTTTAGAAAGAAAGCTTTTAGAAAGAGACAGCTCATCTACTGGTGTTTTTATTTTTACACAATTGGCTATCTGTAGCCAATTTACTTCATTTACTCTCCTAGCAATTCTCATATTCAGCTTTTCCCTTAGCAATACTGTTTAAAATAAGGGTGGAGGGAAATACGGACAAAATATAATCCAGCCCTTTTAACAGGTATGCAGAGGAAATAAACAAGGTGCAACACAAAAACCTGATCAGCTTTTAGGGTAAAACAACAATCCAGAGAGGCTATGGGATCTCCATCCTTTGAGATATTTGAACCTCAGATGCATATGACCCTGAACAACCTCATCTAAGGCAGTCGAGTCTTGCTTTGAGCAGGGGGAATGTACAAGTCAGTTTCCCAGCCTAAATTATTCTAGGAATACAGTTAATTTTAGGAAGCCTAACATGACTATTAACCAACTGAAACACTCACTTTTGATCAGTTAGATGTAAATTGTAAGCAACTCCATTACCAAATGAAACAGAATCTTATCCTCCTGACATTTATATATTACTGCCTACAGCTTTACTTGGATTTAAAACCCCATACCACTCTTCAAGAAAAGAATCCACATTGAACAACAGTGCAATCACCCAACAAAACACAAGCAGGACCCAACTCTGCCAACATCCATTTACCCATTTAGGCTCTTCAGCACTCCAGTTTCCACTAGGCAATTGTGTAGCTGCAAAATGAGAAAACAAACTTCTACATATGTACATACATACGATAATTCAGTGCTGCATTTCCTCTTCTACAGTTATGTCTCATCCTTTCAAAGGCAAAATCTTTACTTCCAGATGTAAAGGACCAGAATATGAAAATTAAAATCACTGTGAGATACAAAGGAATAGTAGTCTCTTAAGATATTCGCAAGCATGGAAGAAGGAAGAGGCATTAAGTAATGAGAGGAACAAAAAACCAAAAAGTATTCTCGGCAGACTGCCTCCTTGAGTGTAAGTCTCCATCAATCCAGGTCATCAGATTTCAAAATTACTGCTGATCTACACTGATATGAGCAACAAGGAATCAGCTCCTTGCATCACTATGTTTCTGAAAGCTGAGACACAGACTGAGAAATCACTTTCTTCTACATGATGGTTAAATCACCACTGGGAAGTTATTCTCATTTAACTGTTTTCCTAACAACCTTTTCAGAAACTTTTATTAAAATAGTTTTTACCAAAGCAATCACCTGTGTAAGAGTATGCAGAAGAGTATGGGTTTATCAGCCATAGTTTTCACCCTTCTCCCAGTTTCCAGTTTAAAAACAAGTTCACCTGGAAGTTCAGTGGGTTTTCTATTCCACTTTCAAGATCAACCAGATTCTGTCTACAGCTTGCATCCTTCCCTACAGATGCACAGGAAAGGTACAGCGATGCAGCTGTTATGCAGTAGCCCTACTTAACCTTTCTAAGGAAGGACAATTAATTTTCTCCTTTCTAGAAAGTTTTTCAGCACCACAAAGAAAAAAAAGAAAGAAAAATCAGTCCAGCCTTTGCTTTTGTATGTCTTATCCTTTCCATCTCCTGCTGTGCCTCAAGAACATCTCTAAAATCTCAATAGAGGGGTTTTTCATTCTCAAACAGAATGAAAGCCTCTTTTTACCATGGACATCTAACATTAGTAGGCTGGTCATCTTGGAAAGAAGTTATGTAAGAGTCACAGCACACACAAATCCCACCTTGCCTGTAGAAACTTTCAAAGGAGCACTAACTTGACACACAAGAGCAAACCTACTGCTTTGGACCAAGGCAACAGCTAACTTTCTCCAGTTTAAGAAACAGCAGTTTTAGTCAGGTTGGCATCCACTGTTCACTTCAAGTTCTGTTTCAGTCTCAGAAGCAAGTCTGAGCAGTTCCCAGCAATTTTAGTAAAGTCAGGAACAGTGCTGTGAGGACAAGCATCTTAGAATCAGAACCATAAAATGGTTAAGATTGGAAGGGAACTTGAAAGATCATCAGGTTCCAACCTCCCTGGTATGAGCAGCAACACTTCACTCTAAGCCAGGCTGCATAAGGGCTCAATCCAACCTGGCCTTAAACACCTTCTGGGAGGGGGCAAAGAACAAGTGTTTAGAACAAGATTTCTATTATAGGCACCTATATGAAAACCCGTACTTTATAATAGTACATAAAAGTAGCATTCCTGTTCTGAGATGGAAAAAAACCATCTAAAAATAGGGGTCTGATTTCAGTTAGACCTTTGCTAATGTCAATCCTTTTTCCTTTGAACTGCCATAGATGGGATGATAACATGGCTGGGTGTATTAAACCTGGAAGATTTATGTAACCACTAACGATCCCCTCCAACAGATTGACAAAAATCAATTCTGAAAATATTCCCATGGAAAAAAAAAAGAAAAAAGAACTAGCATTTTTTTCAGTCACAAAAAGTAACAGCTGATCCTCCCCTGAGGAAACCACGATAGCCTCCTACAGGTTATAAATGATGTAATTCAGTCTGCATGTGGGAAGCTGAAAACATTTTGTCTTTTAGCACAAGGTGTCTATTTTAAAGCTGTCATTGCAATTTTATCTATAACGTTAATTAGCTGAGAAGCAGCTCTTCACCAGCTAAACTGCTACAAGTACATGCTCAGTACACCCCCTTACCACCCATGTCAGCTTTTGGATGTGACAGGGGTGAAGCACACAACCTCACATGAGGCAAAGTTCCTCCACTGGCCGCCTCTGCAGCTTGAGAGCCAAATGCTACAGGTTGTACGTTCTCAATCAGCTGAGCTACTGAGCTATTCACACAAGCTACTGAAGGTTAATTTCCAGCTTTTTTGGCTGTACTTGCACTTTGGTGCTCCAAACTCAGCATGTTTTCTTAAAGAGGGATAGTTTTAATTTCAGATTATCAGATTATTTATATAAACTGTAATGTATGAAGCCATAAATCAATACAACAGCAGATAGGACAATGTCATGTTTATTAGCCACAGGACTATGTATTTGTATCCTACCCGAGTGCCTTGCCAAGGTAGAAGCAGGAAAACAAAAACTTTGTAGAATACTAGTAAAACGTGGCAAAAGTACAGGGAACTTCACAGTCAGGATCCTTTGACATTTATCCTCTTTACTGCCTTTAGACAAATTACAGTGTTACCTTAAAAAAAAGCAGTCCCAACTTTCTGTCAGTGACAGAAGCACAATTTCCATATACAGATTAAGGGTTTATACTGAAACAGACATTTTATTTTTAAAAGGGCTGTTAGGCAACTAGATAGAGCATCTTATGCCCTGATGACTGAGCCCAGGGAGATCTACTGTCCGATGCACCTGAACTAGCATACACAGCCAAGGACCCCGTGCTTTCAGAAAACCACAATGTCTTCTTGTTTTACAGATTTGAACATTACCATTTTGCTTTTAATGAGCCTTTGACTTCCTGATGAGGCAGTTTATATACCAAAGTATCAGCTAAATAGGTGTTTGTATTACACTCAAAGCTTTTCACATAGCATAGTATATCTTGCAAAAATAGGAGTTACAATTACATTTAAAACCTTGTTTTGCTGTTAGCATAAATATTTAATAACTCTACGAGAAATTCCCCTTGGTATGATTTTCTTAGATAACACGGGCAGTTTCAAGGCATCTTGCACTGCATCCTGAAAATGAGAAGCAACCGGCACCTAAGAACAAGAAGCATTTATTATATAAAGCCCTTTGAATGTCTCTTCCTATATTAGGTGGAAGGGCAGCCTGCAGTCACACTGCCTGTTCTCGGATTTCCTTTTGACCACATCACTGAACTATCTTTCAACTTCTCACTGAAAAACACTGCAGCTGAGGTTTTTAGATGAGAGACCAAAACGACACAACACTAGAAGCAAAAATCAACGGCATGCAGCGCACTTACCAGTATCTTTCTGTCCTTCCAGTACTTCTGCACAGCAGAGAAAACACCCCTTCAGTCTTGTTTAAAACTAGACAAAATCCACCAACTCCTTTGAAGCCCCAGCAACTGCGAGACTGAGCGCCTGGGCTCTGTGTGCTTTTACTTAAGCCGTGGGTAGCGCCTTCTGACTGAACAGGGGCTGGCTCTGCCTTCGTCAGCTAGGTAAACACCACCACACCACACACCATTGGCTGGAGTCAGAGCCTGCATCCTGCTCACCACTCCATAAATTCATCCATTTCTGGCCCCAAAAAGGAAAAAAGGAAGCGGAGGGTGTGTTGAGAACGATGCTGCAGCCCAATTCCCCGGCAGTGCTGTGGATGAGTCTCTGGGAGAAACGCTGATCTATTTCCTTCTCTGCTCCTCTTACATAAGCGTACCCACGCACACTATACCTTCTTTCTCCCTTCTCCCCCCCCACCTTAAATCATCATTTATTAGCCCAGCTAGCTTTCCTCACCTCCCACACAAAAAGTGATTTCTTAATACAATGGGAATCGAACCAGCAGAAACTATTTGGGCATTGCTATCCGTGTTTTCACTAATGCTATGGAAGCAGACACACAACACATCTGCAGATACCACCTGTGTGTACTGGACTCCTGTGGCCAGTAGTGCTATCACAGCTCATTCCCATAGAACGCACGATTTAGGAAGGCAAATCTGCACATGCCAGATCAGGTTCTGAGCTCGTTTCTTATTCCATGAACATCAAAATCACTTCATCAAGCCAGTGGGTGGGATCATTCAAATGTCTCAGCCATAAAATGGTGATCAAGCTACTACAGCTTCCAAGTTACCACCTCTGAGAAGTAATCATGCTCTGAGGCTGCTGCAAGCACGATGTGACGCAGTAGCTTCACCTTTACATCCAGTTTTGCATCACAGCTGTAGTGGGCCAAGGAGGTGTGCGTGTTTACCCTGGCTCAAGCCATGTGCGCTCAGGCTGATGTTTGACATCTTCAAGTTCTACAGGTGCTCTATTGCTCTGCTGCTCCTCCCTCAGCTTGCCAACTCAATTTTGCAAGCACAACTTCATGCACTGGTTTCTCTGATCTCTCTCTGTTTTTAAAACTTGGTTTACCTGCTCAGCTGTTTTTGGGGTGGATCCCTTTCCCAATTCAGCTCATGGCTTAACTGTGCAGTTGTACCAGTAGCAACAAAGGCAGGGAGGGCAGATGCATTACTCTGCAGCACTAAGTGCCAAGCACTGTTGAACAAGCTTTTTGTTCATAGTGCCAAACACAGTGTAAGTTGCAATTCCAAAGAAGTCAGCTTCACTGCTGAGAGCAAGGTGAACATATACCTGTTTTCTTTCTCCTTGTCCTGTACTCCACAGCCATCCTTTTACTAGGCTGTCCCTTTACAGGATCCTGTCATCTCAACTGCAGAACACCTTGCCAGAAGATATTCTGGATAATGAAAGCACATAGGCTCAAAGACACTTTTAAAAATCTGCTATCATAGATTATTAAGTACAAAGATACCACTTTGCTCCACAGAAATGACTGGGGTACAACTGCTGAACACTGAGAAGTGCTTAGAGAAACATGATGATGTGCAAGTGTTCCCTTGTCCCCACTTCTGGCCACCAAAAAGGACATGCTACTGAATACTCATCTGAGACGATATGGTCATTATTGCAGCCATCAGATTGCTGAACTGGTAAAGACCTTATGGAAAACCCAAAACACAGCGCAAAACCCCCAACTATTTTAACCAAAATAATTTTGCTAATCTGTTTATGGGTTTATTGTATGAACCCACTATACCAATGCAAGTGAAGGAACAGGAACTTTCTGAATCAATCTCATCAGTAAAGCCATAGACTCATCAAGCCACATCTTGAGATTAAAGCTGAATATTCCTCTCTGCCAAAAATCAATAGCCTCTCACTGTACCAGGACAAGAAGCTAGCTTTTCCAGTGGTAAACAGTGGAACCTGAAAATAGCACCATTCACTGTAGACCAAGAATCACCCTATGCCATTTCCCAATCACTTTCAAGTATTTTACACTTCATCCTGACCTATATATGATATGTAGCTTTAATACTTTTTTTAATCAGGGCTATGGGCTGGGTTTGGGTTTTTATGTGGTGTTGGTTTTGTTTTTATAAAAAACCCCACACAACCATCAGCAGTGTATTAGCATCACAATACACCTATATGGCAACAAGAGTACAAAAGGTGCTCTGTATTCAGACATTTAACTGCAGTGGTAAATTACACTGTTATAACCACTTCCAGGTTGCATTACATTTCTCACAGAGACCTTAGCACTTAAGTTGTACTGTTTCAAATGTGTTCAGTCTGAAAAGCAGGACTTAGGACTAATTTGCTTTTAGAGCTCCTTTATTTTCTCCTATTACAGATGCCACTCTCAGAGTCCAGGTTAGTAAGTCTGTGGATAACTTTATGCTGGAGACACATAAGAAGTATAGCGTAAGCAACTGCAGGTGGATATGCCTTCTACTGCCCAACCCAGCCTGCGACAGATAATATTTCTTACCTCCACATCCCACCAGCCTTCATATTAGTGACCCACAGTACTCTGGGGTGCAGTCTTCTGCTACCAGTGGAATGTACCACACAGTCCCCTTTTCACAGCTAATCATGCCCCATCTTAAAATGGGGTGTTTTGCGGTTTATTTTGACCCAGCCACACTGCCAGGTGGCTAACTCTGGACCTCACTCTATAGAGCTTGAACCACTTTGTTTCCCACCTGTGTTTACTCATAGCCATGCTCTACTAATCTTGTTCTTTTGTTAACATCGCCCCTCACTTTTATTAAGAGGAAGGTTTAATGATTTCCACTCCACACAGGAACCATGCTCTGTCTTGAGGACTAAAGCAAATGCCTCAAATGTATTGTCACTAGACAAGCTATCCAACTTTCCCTGGAGCAGAGATGCTGCCAACCATGCCAGACTGAAACAATAAAATCTGTAACCCAAGATACCACTGCTAATTTCATGAAGTGATGAACTGCAGGGGAGGTTCTTTCCTTGGAGTTGTTAAAAAAATAAAAGGCTGTATCGTCATGTTCTTCTATCTGACTCATGAGCAGATGCTGTACAGTTTGATATAATTACGTGATTTCACATGACATTCAAAATGAGCTTTGTAGAGGAATGCATTTCCAGCTCTATCAGCTAAAAAGATAGCTATGCGGGTACAGGCAAAGGACAATGGTATGTCCCTCAGCATGCAGACAGCCAAGAAGCCTGAGCCGCAAACTCTTCATCCTAGACTTAACCTGATCAGTAAACTACCGCTGAATTTTGAGGTAAACGTTGCTTTGTTGATAATTTTATTTGACAAAACAGGCAGGGAGTGGAGCAAAACCCACACACAAGGCAAGTGCTTTAAACTGCCACACACAGGGTACAGAGGAAAGGAGACCAAAGGAAACACTAAGAACTGAGAGCAAAAACGTGAAACAACAGGATCTGTAATGGTCCCAAGGGGAAATATATTTGTATGCTCAATACTGAAGGCTGAACGTGCTCTGTACACCACCTTAACTCTACTTCCCACAAAGTCAGTAGCTGAACTCTGATCAAAGCCAGTGATACCTAAAAAAGACAAATATTTCATGCACTGTAAAGTGTGCACATTGTTAGAGTGTTCCCAGAAGTCTAACCCCAGGTGCACAGGGTAAAAGAGTTAAAGATTATTGACTTGCCAGCCCCATTAATCTTTCATTGTGTTATGTCACATGTAATCTTTGTGCAAGGAGTTCCCATGTTATACAGTTAATAAAGTCATACTACAGTGTTTTAAGGAGATTATGGGGGGGAAAGCAGCCTGAAGCCAAGAACATGCTAATTAGAGTATACAATAGAAACGTTAATCAAATAATCTGCAGGAAGAGGAGGAGGGAAGGAAATGACCTAATCCCCTGCACTACTGTGTTGTGCCTTGTGGCAAGAAGTAAGAAAATTCTTGTAAGGGTCAAGAAAACAAAGGTCCATTGTTCTAGCTACAGCTTTCAGAGAACACTTTGCTGCATCTCAAGTTGCTGTAACATGACGGGTAGATGGTACTTTATGAACTCCTCCACACAGACCACATCTGGAAAGGGTGGGTGAGGTTAATGAGATTTGCAGGACAACCGAGTAGAAGATATCTAAGTAGAACCCCAAGTTCTTAGGGAACAGCAAATTCTCCTTCAAAGATATCTGCCAACTGTAAAATGCCTGTAATCCAACAACCATGGTGATCCCTGAGGCAACCATGGAGTAATTTGTTACTGAAGGTGCAGCAGCCTAGCTAGGAGAGGCACAAAGCATCACACTGCAGAGAGGCATTTCCTGTGACACAATTCATCCTTTGCCATCAGACAAACCTCTTATGAGGTCCTATTCCACCCATAGATGGGTGTGCCTGGCCTCCCGATAGACCAGGGAAGCCCTTCTATTTAAAGACAGCAGGTTACCATGAATGCATCCTGCAGACCAAAAACCAGTTGTCCCTCTGTCTTTGGCTTGATCTCTGATTTAGTAGGCACATATGGCTTATAGGAATGTACCAACTCAATACTTTTAACTTCCTACAGGGGAGAGACCACATTAAGAATAGCACATGCAAGATTCCTGGTCCTTGCCCTGAGTACATATTAAATAGTTATTTACTATGAGCTGAAGGAATTTCAGGCGGGAATAAAGGAATATCTACAGGACAGCAAGACTACTGACTTTTACCTGTTCATAAGTTTTCAAGAGGCTGAGTCAACTCCTTTCCTCATAAGGGACTTCACAGAATCACAGGATAACTCAGGAGGTCTGGTGAGACCTCACTTGGGAGTATTGTGTCCAGTTTGGGGCTTCCCAGTTCAAAAGGGACAGGGATCTACTTGAAAGAGTCCAATGGAGGCTACAAGGATGATAAGGGACTGGAACACCTGCCTTATGAGGAAAGGCTGAGAGACCTGGGGCTTTTCAGTCTAGAGAGAAGATTGAGGGGGGATCTAATTAATGTCTATAAATACACGAGGGCTGGGCATCAAGAAGGCAGGGAAAACCTCTTTTCACTTGTGTCCTGTGATAGGACAAGGGGAAATGGATTCAAACTTGGGCATAGGAAGTTCCACCTCAACATGAGGAAGAACTTCTTTCCTGTGA